AAGTTCTATCTCCTACTGCTGTGACCTGATATTTGCTAGCATTGTTAATCCATTATTTACAATGTAATGTAGTTTATTCTTTTAATGTTTTATTCACATTGGCCTGTGGAGTAGCTTTAAAGCTTTCTCATCTGGCATCTAAATTTCATTTTGCTTTCCTTCTCCAGGCACATATTTGTTTTCTTTGATGGAGTCTGCATGATGTAGCTCGAAGGGAATATCGATCGTATCGATCATCTTGTGATTGGACAGAATCTGTTTATTCTTTTCAGGAGGATATGAAGCCCTTTTAGACTGTCTGAGATGTCTTTTAAATATTTAATACCATCTAAAAGATTGGGATGAATGGTTTTCTTGCCAGAGACTATGCACTGTATCTTCTTGAGTCTCTTGCAGACTTGACTTGAGCTCTTAAGTGCCTAATTAATGTTTATCATAACTTTTACCCTGAACTTTATACTTTCTCATGTCTATGACAACTCTTTGGCACCCCAGAGTGAAATGGAAGTATCAATGCGGTTTCAACTCTTCACAAGTTTTTTGGAGATATCTTTTGGTTCTCTTTGTTCACACTCGTGTGTATCGGCTGAGTTTCACACTTCCCAGTCATTTTGTTTGGAGAAAGAAAGGGATTTGACTTCGACTCTGCTTCAATCCACTGAAGGGTCCCATTTATTTGGCAACTGCCAAGTATGTCATATAGCAAAAACTGGATTTTCTAGTGGAATTCATCAGGGATTAAAGGCAGTTGGTCTCCGAGAGATGAAGATTATTCTATCCAAGAGAAGGAAAAGAAATGCTTTCTTCAATTCTTCGCTTCAGCCAGCAAGACATCCAGACGAAGCCCATTACAACCTTGCTGTAAAATGCTAGAAATTAAGATCCAGGCTTGGGTAAGAGTCTGGGCAGCCTATTTAAGACATTCCCAAGAAATCTAAAATTCTAGCGCATCAGAAAGCCCATATATCCAAAGTTTTAGCCCTCCAATTCATCTTTTTGAAAGGGCAAAGAAGAAATCAAAATGGCAGTGGCACTTCTCACCTGCACCTTTTTCTCCATTAAAATAATCCATGACAAGATCTAACATGCACCTCTGAACCCACTATCAAACCTTTTTTCTTTTTTTTTAAGTTTTCATCGATATTCTCCAC